TATGAGCTGTTTATATATTCTGGAAATTAAGCCCTTGTCAATCTCATCTTCTGCAACTATTTTCTCCCATTCTGCAGGTTATCTTTTGTTTTGCTTATGGTTTCCTTTGCTGTGCAAAAGCTTATAAGTTTAATTAGGTCCCATTTGTTTATTTTTGCTTTTATTTCTATTGCTTGGGTAGACTGCCCTAGGAGAACATTGCTGAGATTTATGTCAGATAATGTTTTGCCTACGTTTTCTTCTAAGAGGTTTATAGTGTCTTGTCTTATGTTTACGTCTTTAAGCCATTTTGGATTTATTTTTGTGTATGGTGTGAGGGAGTATTCTAACTTCACTGATTTACATGCTGCTGTCCAGTTTTCCCAACACCATTTGCTGAAGGGAATGTCTTTACTTCATTGTATGTTCTTGCCTCCTTTGTCAAAGATTTCTTTATAGGACTTATCACAAACTGATACTATATAATGTTTATTTGTTTGTGATTATTTTCTATTTCCACTATCCCTACTGGAATATCAGTTTCGTGATGAAAAGAACTATTTTGTCCACTGCTATATCCCCAGTTCCTATAGGAATACCTGGCACAGAGTATGGCCCTAGTAAGTATTTGTCTGAGGAAGGAAGGAAGAATGGAAGGAAGGACAGGAGGGAGGGAGAAAGGAAGGAAGGGAGGAAGAGTTCCTCTCACTGTGCTTAGCACTTAAATATATGTCCCCCAGGATTTTGTCCAGTCCTCTTCCCTTCCCCTCTATACTACCCTTTTTGGAAGACCTCCTCCCACCTCCCTCTATGGGTTCAATGACCATCTACCAAACTAACTCTCAGTCTGACTACTGAGTCCTTGTTTCTTTCTTATACCCAAGAATTATAGGTACAATTGCCTGTTAGACATTTTAGAAAGAGATCTTACAAATACTTCAATCTCTGCATGACCAAAACCAAGCTCATTATTTTCTTGCCTTCTGATATAATGTATATAAAATACAGAGTCAAATGCTCAGTGCCTAGTATGCACTCAATAAATCCAGTTCCATCTAGCCAATTAAGCAAGAAACTTTGGACTCATCTTGACTCATATTTATTTAGTGTACTGAATCTACCACCTCACTTTTCCAGTATTTGGAAGTCTGTCAACCCAACACCCCTGGGATTCTCAGCTTTTACTCCTCACTCCAGTAACCCTGATTGCCTTTGCCTGGCACACATTCATTCAATTCAGTTAGGTATTCAATGAGTATTGAGCTTGTATCCTTGCTAGGCACGATGATGGCTATACTAGAAATACAAGAATAAATAACACATGGACACTGCCCAAAATTTACAGGGGGAAACAGGTGAGTAAACAGGCTATTACAATATAGAATATGCAGTTCTAGATAGAGGAAATCAAAGGGTGTTGTTTATGGGAGGAAAACTTAATACAGTCCAGGGATGAAAGAGCTAAGGAAATTGTCTTACAAGTGGTAAAGCCTTAGTCAAGTCTTGGGTTAGCTAAGCAAAGAGTAGGAGGGAACAGTCATCGTTCCAGGAAGAAAGAGCAGAATGTGAAAAGAGATATGGGAGATGATGTTATAGTTCAATATGCAGTTGAATATGGGCATAGCATAGAGTGGAAGCTTGTGTAGAGATAAATAGGGTTATATTCTTTTTTTAACTTTTTAATTGAAGTATAGTCAGTTTACAATGTTGTGTCAATTTCTGGTGTACAACATAATGTTTCAGTCATATATGTACATACATATATTCATTTTTATGCTCTTTTTCATTATAGGTTAATATAAGATATTGACTATAGTTTTCTGAGCTATACAGAAGAAAATTATTGTTCATCTATTTTATATATAGTAATGTGTATCTGTTAATCCCAAACTTCTAATCTATCTCTCCCCTCTCTCCCCCTGGTAACCAGTTTGTTTTCTATGTCCGTGAGTCTATTTCTGGTTTATAAATAAAATTTTTATCTTTCTTAGATTCCACATATAAGCAACATCATAATATTTGTCTTTCTCTGCCTGACTTACTTCACTCAATATGATAATCACTAGGTCCATCCATGTTGCTGTAAGTGGCATTATTTCATTCTTTTTCATAGCCGAGTAATATTTCATTGTATAAATACACCACATCTTGTTTATCCAGTCATCTATTGATGGACATTTAGGTTGCTTCCATGTCTTGGCTATTGTAGAAAGTGCTGCTATGAACATTAGGGTGCACATATCTTTTCAAATTAGAGTTTTCTCGAGATATATGCCAAGAAGTGGGACTGCTAGATCATATGGTAAGTCTATTTTTCATTTTTTAAGGAGGTTCTATACTGTCCTCCATAGTGGCTGCATCATTTACATTCCCACCAACAGTGTAGGAGGGTTCCTTCTTCCCCATGTCCTCTCCAGAATTTATTATTTGTAGACATTTTAATGATGGCCATTCTGACTGATGTGAAGTGATACCTCACTGCAGTTTTGATTTGGATTTTTCTAATACTTAGTGATATTGAACACCTTTTCATGTGCCTGTTGGCCATCTGAATGTCTTCTTTGGAGAAATGTCTACTTAGGTCTTCTGCCCATTTATTTATTTTTTTTAATTTTAAGCTGTATGGCAGCCCTAGCATACTAATGCAGAAGGGAAGTAAGATAAGAACTTTAAAAAGTTCATTGCTTTAAATAACTAACAGCTGCAGTCATGGAAAACAGTATGGAGGTTTATTTAAAAAACTAGAACTACCATATGATCCAGCAATTCTACTGCTGGGTATATACCTGGAAAAAAAAAAGAAAAACTCTAATTTGAAAAGATACATGTATCCCAATGTTCATATTTACAATAGCCAAGACATGGAAGCTAACAAACAGGTCACTGGTAATATTGATCAGAGTCACTTAAGGAATGCAGTGGGGGGGCAGAATGAGGTTCTTATGGGTTGTGCTTATGGACAGAAGGTGGCAGAGTAGAAATAGCAAGTGTAGACAACTTTTTAAGGTAGTTTAGCTATGAAAGAACAGAGAGTAATATCTAAAGATAAACAAAGATCTGACAAAAGTTATTTTCAAGCTGGGAGAGACCCTGAGCTGGTTTGCAGATAAAGAGGATGGACAGAGGAAGGACCTAGGTCAAAGAGAAAGCTAACAGGCTGACAATATGTGAAAAATAAGGAGAGGAGGGCTCAAAGGAGCAAAATTTCTCCAGGAAGTAGAGGAGGATGACGACCAGGGCAAAGTGAAAGAATTGGGTATGTCCAAGTGAGGAGATAAACTTTGTAAATACATATCCCTGAGGTTTCAGGGACATAAGAATAGAAAAATGGTTCTTTAGACCCATCTATACAGGGTCTTCAAGGCTGAAATGAAGTGTTGGGACTTAATTCTGGAGGCGACTGGGGCTTTTTTTTTTTTTTTGAGGAAGAGAATGACATGACCCAGGCTAAGCACAATTGAGATCTCATAACTCATGAGGTTTACCCAGAGCACAATTACTGCTGATTGAAATGAATACAGAGATGTACTTTAGGGAGATTCATTTGGCAGAACTGCAGAGAATGAGCTGGAGGGCATCCAGATAAGAGGTAATGAGTCCCTGCCAGTAGTAGGAAGAAGGCAAAGGAGATAGATGAGATGGACATTAGAAATACTGCAGAAGGACCTGAGAAAGGACCTGGGGACTGTTGGGGATAAAAGAGGGAACTGAAGAGGAGTCTACAGTTGTGAGCTTGACTTACAAGGTTGGGAAATATGCCATGGACAGAAATAGAGCTATTAGGCAGGGGGGTTGGGTGAGGGGGTAATACTTTGCAATGGGAGTCTGCAGCTCAGAAAGTAGGTAAAACTGGGCAGATGAAGGCAGTACCCTGCATCTAGGAGAGAGGTGAAACACTTGGATGTGGATCAGTTCAAAAAAGAAGAGTTGGCAGAGGGAAAAGAGAAGGTAAACAATGGGATCATGAACGTACTTTGGGTGTAGGAAGAAGCTGTTTCCCTCAAGTGCAGGAAGGCTTCCTAGAGAGGGCAGAAAATGTAAGACATCCCAGAAACAGTGGGAAGAATGCTTGACTGGTAAGCAGAAGCTGCTGGTTACTTCCTGTTATTTACTGCCCCTGTTACTTCCAAGTTATGTGAACTTAGAGCCTTTTCTTGTCCTGGGCCTCAGTTTGTTCACCTGTAAAATGGGGTTGCTGAATACAGTGATAAGAGAGAGCCCCTTGTAAGCTCTGACAGCCATTTGCCTTTATTTTTTTTAATTTTATCTCCCTTATTGCCTATTATCCATACTTCTTTACTTTATTTAATTTTTGGTTGTTACTTTAGAGTTTACAGTATACACCTTTAACTTATAATCTATATTCAAATATTATATCACTTCACATATAAGTGTAAGAATCTTAAAACAGTACATTTTCATTTCCCCTTGCCATCCTTTATGCTTTTATTGTCATATATTTTACTTCTATATATCTTTTTTTCATTTTCATATTCTTTTTCATTATAGGTTCCTACAAGATATTGAATATTGTTCCCTGCACTATACAGCATAAACTTGTTGTGTATCTATTTCATATATAGTAGTTAGTATCTGCAAATCCTGAACTCCCAATTTATCACTCCCCTCCTCCTTTCCCCTGCTGGTAACCATAAGTTTGTTTTCTATGTCTGTGAGTCTGTTTCTGTCTTGTACATAAGTTCATTTGTGTCTTTTTTTTTTAGATTCCACACATGAGTGAGATCATATGGTATTTGCCTGCAGCTTGACTTTAGTGTTTGGCCAGTCCTTGGTTTGGCAGAGAGGGGTGAAAACTTTTCTGGGTCTAGGAACAACACAGAGAAGGCAAAGAGGCACACTTAAGGAAGCAGAAGTAAACCAATTTGGAGCTGGCTGTTTTTCACAACTTGTGGTATCCAACCGAATGATTATTCTGATGGGCAATTATTAAGATACTCTACGATTGATAATAGCACCTAGTCTATGTTGTCAAAAGTGCTAGACATCACAAGGAAATGCGTACCCGCTGGTTCCCTTTCCCATCGGATCTGAACACTGGTCTTGGTGGTCTTAAAAGGAGGAATGGTGGTACTGAAGCTATACTCACAGTCCGTGTATCCACTATATAGCTTGTGGGCTAGTTTCATCAGGGTAGGGAAAAAGGAAATTTGTGTAATGAAGTTTTAACCAATGTTGTATTCCCTGCTAAAATCAGTACTAAAGGCTAAGCACTGCCTTCCTTTTGTTTACTCAGGAAAACAACAGTCATCAAAAGCCCTGTGTTTCAGGGACTTTCATATATTTGACTAAAATGCAGTTTCCGTGAGAGCAAGATCTTCTTTTTAAATCTATTGTATGAATTGCTGTAGCACCAATACCTGGAATAGTGTCTAGCACATAGTTGGTGCTCAATAAATATTCTTTGAATGACTTGGGGGAAAAATATATATAATCTCATTTAATCCTTACAACAAACTTGCAAAAGAGGCATTAGTATTCCCATTATACCGGAGGGAAAAGAATGGCTAAAAGATGTTATGTAAATTTGCTCAAAGTCATGCCAGGATCAAACACAATAGACTCTAAGCTCCATATGAGCAGGGAATATGTGTGTTTTACTCTCTATGGTATCCCCAGCAGTCAGCTCAGGATCTAGACTACCTGGAGCACTCTGTGAACATCTTTTGAATGGGAGGAAGCAAGCAAGCAAACACAGAATTGGGTGAAAACAAATACCGTTCCTTGCGCCTCATACCAACCACATCATCACTCAAATTCAAAAGAATAGAATCTCAAGAATTAATTGGTCTGCTTCACTTGTTTGTGGACTTAAACCTTCTGTGATATTTAATTCAGTCTCACTTATACAGTGTGGTGGTTCTCTTTCAGTCTTTTTAACCTCTAGATAGAGTCTCAAGATCCTCTTTCTGGAGGATGCCTGATACCAAGAGTCAGCAAACTTTTTCTATAAAGAGCCAGGTAGTAAATATTGTAGGCGTTGAGGGCCTTATGTTCTCCGTTGGAACTACTCAACTTTGCCATTGTGGTATAAAAGCAACACACAGATCAATGAACATGCCTGTGTTCCAATAAAACTTTATTTACAAAAACAGGTGGCAGGCCAGATGTTGCCACAGACCATGAGTGTAGACAACTTCTCAAGGTAGCTTAGCCATGAAAGAACAAATGGTAATGGTTAAAGATAAACAGAGATCTGACAAAAATTATTTTCAAGATGGGAGAGACCTTAGCTGGTTTGCAGATACAGAGGATGGACCCAGGTAAAATAGAATGACAATACATGAAAAAATGACCTTGACTCTTCCACCTCTTGCCTTTCCAGGACTTCTCTAACACTGTGTCAACTGTGGAGCGCCTCCTATCCCTGATAGATTAATACTTGATTGGACGAATACAGTTTTCCTGAGTTTTAACCCCTTCCATATAATTGTAGATGACAGGAATATATTGACAAAAGAGAGAGGTCAGCTAAGGAGGTTGGAAGATAGCTTGGACAAAACCCCAAGATATGGCAGGACAGCTCCCTTTCATAATCATGTTCCAAAATCTGGACCCCAAGTTTACAGGGACAAAAACCAGATTTTTTTTTGTTTTTTGCATCAGTGTACCTAGAGTTGATTCATTAAAAACAGTCTCATAAATAACCATACTTATAAGAGACTGAATGAAATGCCAATTTAGGTGACCATGAAAACTATAATTATCAAGGGGATCAATTACTTATATTCTCTACTTCCCTACATCAGGATGTGTTAAAAAAAATCCCCAGTCTTTCCTATGTGCCATATGATATCATAGGTGCTAGGAACACAACAATGAATACAGAGCAGCCCCTCCCCTCATGCCTCTTCTAGTCCAGGGCTAAGCACCAGCATTTTTTTTTCCTGTAAAGGACCAAACAATAAGCAGTTTAGGCTTTTCAGGTCAGGTTCTGACAGGTTCTGTCACAACTCCTTAGTTGCACCATTGTAGTGTGAAAGCAGCTATAGATAAAGACGTAAATGAATAAGCATGGTTCTGCTCCCATGAAACTTCATTTATTGACATGGCAATGTGAGTTTCATATAATTTTCACCTGTCCTGAAATCCTATTCTTTGGTTTCTTTTCCCCAATCATTTATTTAATTATTTTTATTTATTGAAGTACAGTCAGTTTACAATGTGGTGTCAATTTCTGGTGTACAGCATAATGTTTCAGCCATACATATACATGCACATATTCCTTTTCATATTCTTTTTCATTATAGGTTACTACAAGATATTGAATATAGTTCCTTGTGTGAATCAGAAGAAACCTGTTGTTTATCTATTTTCCCCAACCATTTAAAAATATCTTTTAAAAAACACTTTCAGTAGGGGAGGGTATAGCTAAAAGTGGTAGAGCGCATGCACGTGTTCCTGGGTTCAATTCCCAGTATCTCCTCTAAAAAGTAAATAAATAAACCTAATTATCTCCCTCCCCACCAAAAAAATTTTTTAAAAAATCACTCTCAGTAGCAGGCCATACAAAAGCAGGGGGTGGGCTAGGTTTAGCCCATAGGCTGTACTTTGCCAACTCTCAGTCTAGTCTAACAGGGAAGATACATGGAGACACAGATTATTTCAATACAATGTGATCAAAGCTACTAGAGTCCTGTAGGAGCCAGAGAAAGTCCACCTAACTCAACCCAAGGCATCAAAGAAAGTATCTTAGAAACAACACCAGATCTGAATCTTAAAGGTTAATATGAAGGCATTAACTAAGGGGAAGTATGCTCCAAGTAGAAAGCAGAGAATGCAGTAGAATCAGAGTCATAGAGCTGATAAATAGCATGAAATTCTTGGGGAAAGGTATTGCTCTAGCATAAAAGCCAAGATAAGAAGTGCCAGATGAAGTTGCAGGTATGCACAGGGATGAAGATATAAGATGTCTTATCTACCATGTCTCTGAGTAATGAAGGCCCCAGATAAGTTTCCAGCAGGAGATTAATATAATTGAATTTGTATTTTAGATTTGTTTCTGTAGCAACACGTTGGCAGACAGATCTGAGACAGCTGAGAGGGCTACTGAAATAGTCCAGGCGAGAGATGATGAGGGCTGGAACTGGGGCAATAGTGGTGGAAATGGAGGGAGGAAGAGAAATTCTGGAAGTGTTTGAGAGGTAACAATCAACATGACTTAGTGAGGGAGAACAAGGAATCAAAAGTGACTCAGGTCTCTCCCAGTTGGATGGTGAAGTGGATGAAAGTACCACCAACCACTATTGGAAGGGGAGAGAGTTTTGTAAGCAAAATAATGAATTTATCTTTATACACAGTGCATTTCAACTTTCTGTTGGGTTTTCCTGCAGAGATTTTTACCAGGCTGCTGTGCATATGAGCTCTGGAGAAAGATCAGAACTAGAGATGTAATTGTGAGCACAGAGGTGGTAGTCAAAACCATGAATGAATGCAGTTGTTCAGATTAAATGAGCAGAATAAGGAGAGTCATGGTCAATGGTGATCAAAAGGTGATTGACAGAATAAGAGAACAAGATATTTTCAGCCTGAATGATATGTAAGAGTGGCTGGAAAGAGAATGGGGTATGAGAAAGCTAGAAGAAGAAAAGGTTGTTACCAGAGAGTTGAATGCAGTCTTTCTCAACTGATTCATGAGAATTAATATGGGAATTGAGCCCTAAGGCCTCGAGACAGGTGTTCTCAAACTGTAAGATTTTCACCCAGAAAGCCTGTTAAAACATTGCTGAGGGCCACAGCCAGAGTTTTGATTCCAGAGGTCTACAGTAGCACCCTTGATTTGCATTTCTAGCAAGTTCCTAAGTGATGTTCATCAGTGAGAATCACAGCCCTAAAGTATCCATTGTTTGTAATGAATTAACTTCTGTCTTATGCATCTAGCATACTCTGAGTTATGTGTCATCCTTGGGAAAAACTGAGGTAATAGTCACTCAATTTATTTTCTTTGTTCTATGATTCAAATAAGGAACTCTGATGGAGAAAGACTGGAAGGTGTCAGGCTTTCATGACTGAATCACCAGACTCTAGCATAGGTTAGACATTCGATAAATATTTGTTGACTGAAAGGTTAGAATGTCCATGGTACAGTCAGGGGAGTGAGCGGCTGATCTGGAAGGGTTTATCTCTGAAGTCAAGATCAAGGACCCATAAGACAAAAGTTTGTGTTCCTCTGTGAGGACCATGAAATCTTTCAGTATGACAGTAGGAACTGGGGTGGAGAAGACAATGGTGAAGCAGGTGCCAAAGTATAAAATGGGAGTGGGAGAATGACTTGGAGGCTGACGGATGACATTGATAAGGGAATGAAAATGGTAAAACCCACTTGCTTGAATTTCAGAAGGGATTTTTGCATGAGTATGGAGGAACAACAGTTTGAAAGTTGTCTTCGAACAGCATGCCTAAACCAGGACATGTGTATATCCTGTCCATTAATTACATTGTGTCTTGCTTTTTTATCATTATAGCAGTGCCCTAAGAGTTTACCTGCCTGAGCAAAAATAATGTCTACACATTTTCCCTTTCTGTACAGTTTTGTAATTCCCACCATATGCATTCTCTTTCTTTCATACATATTTCCTATTAAGATCATTCCTAAGAATTGTATGTGTCTGGTTGCTATTGTAAATGAGATATATTTCTTCTTAGAGCTCCCAATGGTGACCGTGGCCTAGTGTGTGTTAGTTTTAAATTAAAGTTGTGCTTCTTTGATTTATCCTTTGAAGTGGTTGTTAACACCTTAAAAAGTTCTTCACTAATGTTAAATAAAATCTTTAACATATGTTCATTTTTATATCGGTATGAGAGTTAAGATTTTTGCCTTTTTAACAATTATCTTTTAACAATTGCAGTGAATTATTGCCCAACATTACTGAAGGAGACCGGATAGAATTTCATATAGGTTTTGCATCTAAGTCCACAAATTGGATAAAATATTCTTTTTGGAGCAATTTGTCAGGCGTTGGTATCAGAGCAATGCTAGCTTCAAAAACAATGTGAATAACTCTGCAAGATTTTCAATTTTATACCACTGTTATAGAATTGAATTTGGCTATGCCTAGAAAGTTCCTTGAAAGAACTCACTGATAAAAACATCTAGCCTTAAAGGATTTTTGGAAGTTTCTCTTTGATAATTGT